AGGACAGGGACGAAACATCGCAATCAGTGAGTAAGGAAAAAATGAAAGAAGACTGCAACAAGACACAAATAAAAAACAATGTCAGATGAATGTTCTGTCTGCAGAAGGGTAAGAGAGAGTGAGTTCTCCCTCACCCTGACTTGCTGAGCTAATTGCCGTGATGGATTGGTCTTACTCCCCTGAGCACAGAGCTCCTGCTCCTGCAATAACACAACAAGATGACTTTGCCAATCTGCATGTTAGGCAGTTATGAAAGAACTGTAACTGCTAATACAGTTGTTGTTATTGTGCTGGGAACACAACAGCAACAGCCTACTCAAAGCTAATATTCAATCACTCAATCAATCAATCAAACTTTGTTTGTATAGCACTTTTCATACAGGTTAGTGGCAGTAGTGATCATATTGCATTTATTGTGACAGATATTGTGATTGTGAAGTGAGTCATGATTATAGTGGGAATGGTCTAAGCTTGCTCCCTTAAATTTGAAGAATATGATTTGTAGGCCGAGGCAACTCTGTAGGACGACAACGCTTCATTTATGGTTTGTTGTCACACATTATCTGCAATTTGAATATCGCACTTGGCCAGATTGCAATTTCAATAATATTTGGATTAATTGTTCGGTCCTACAGGTAAGTGCAGTTCAAACAAGAATGCTGACAATGAGATACAGTCAAGTAGATTTAAAAAACTATAATAACAATAATAATAAAACAGCAACAATATTAATAATAAAATGAATGAATGGATGAATAATAGAATAGAATAACATTTACAACAAAATGGATAAAATAAAGTATCTATAAACCATACTGAGGAGGTAGGTTATGTTTTTAAGTTGCTCTCAGGTCCTCAGGCTGTAAAAGCTAAAAGCTGCCTGCTAAAATACTGTAATATGACAGAATGGATTTCTCAGAGGAAATCATTCTGAGCGCTCCCTGGGTCAATTTCACATGTGATTAGTGGAGGACTATTATTGAGATATTAAAGGAGTGATCATTTTTTCTGATGTGATTAATTCATCAGCTGTGTTATGGCGATGCTCACTTCCTTGCCTTGAGCATGTTGGGGAGGAGCCAGGAGGCTGCCCATGGCAAGTGAGGAAGGCATGAGCAAACACACCTACACACACACACACACACACACACACACTGAACAAACCTGCATACACACTCCTACACACTGCAGAAGCCAGGGCTAGCACCCTCGCATTAATCAATACTATTCTTAACAAGGCTTCCCTTCTAATGGTTCAACTTGCAGCCACACGCATGCGTGCTCACACACCACATTTCTCACAGGGAAGCCCTGATTAAGTCATAGCAGCCTCCTTTCCTAAAATGGAGCGTTGCGTCGGAGCTGAGCCGAGCTGAGAGGAGAAGATCTTTAATAACGGAGGAGGACAGCCTCCGGGGAAAGACCCCTGGAGAGAGCAGTCACGTGTATGGAGTACCCAGACCACTGTCAAATCACACAGCCAATGCTACTGTACACTGAGCTGCTGTGGGGGGGGGGGCTGAATTAACCACCTGTGTTTAAGCGACTGAAAGGAAAAGAGGCATCGGTACTGTGGCGATGTGTGTTCTTGTACGACGGACAAGGAGGAAGCAAGAGTATGTGGGTGTACGTGGCTGTTTGTTAAAAAGTACACTTCATCAGCTGCAGTATGACTAACCTCCCCATTGCGCACACATCTTCAGAAGTAATGGACTTTTATTATTTTCCACCGTAAGCTCCGGACATCAAAGCACGACATGGCCTTGCACGCTAGATTGGGACAGCAAAGTCATCAAAGTGAATACCTTTTGTTTTCCATGAAAAGCAGGACAGAGAGGGCTCTTTTTGTATAAGAATTCTCCAGCTACACACACACACACTGACAAGGGAACATACACATAGACACACAAAAAACAATACCCAACCATACATACTGTACGTGAACTCACCACCTATTTTAAGGCGAAGAAACTCTCTTTGACATTTTCAGTCATTTGTAAACCTTGAGAGAGCAGAGACTGAGACAATAACAATGTTACTAAGACGTAACCACCCTCAACTATTACTACAAGCGTCTGTCGGTGCTTCACTTCTTATTTTCCTTGACTGGAAAATGACAGTGGTGGAGAGAGGGTGCGGGACTAAATAAGTGTCTGAAATCAACAGAAGCAGCGGGGTCCTCACAATTAAAATCAGCGAGGGAGATGTAATGATGGTTGTTTCACGTCTAGCTTAGAAAATGACGGACTTTCTCTCTCCCTCTCCATCTTTCTGACTCTCTCTCTCTCTCTCTTTCCCTCATCTTTCGAGTGCTTGATCAGCCATCCTCTAATTTCAGGCAATAATCAGTGACTGCATCCGCTGTGCTGCATCCTCCCAGAACACAGAGCTCATGTTGGGATACTTCCTTATCAGCCAGCCTTGTGCTCTACCCGCGGCGGAAATATTCACACACAGCTCTGTTGTGCACAAATACATGTTCAAGCGAATACATGATTGCATAACAAGTCCATCATTTGATTAACCAATTGATAGAAATTAATAAAACAATGTTGTTAATCAAGTATAAACTTTAACACAACTTGGGTTTCATTTTTAGCCATGCTAGCATCATGGCTCTATGGATAGCAACTTGGTCCAGACTAAAATATCTCAACTACTTCTGGGTGTATTGCCATGACAATTGGTGCAGACGTGTGGTTTTCCAGAGGTTGAATCCTACTGACTTTGATGAACCCCAGACTTTTCCTGACCTTTTTGGTTTTGGGTGAAATGTCTTGACAACTCCCGGACGGACTGCCATGAAATTCAGGCATTCCTCCTGTCCTCATCTTATTTAACATTTCATTTTGTGCCACCATCAGGTCAATATTCCAATTTGTCCAATGTTTGTTTTATGACCAAAATGAAAAACTGATGACATTCCCTTCAGGGTACTTTGCGTTTAGTGCTAATTAGCAAATGCCTGCACGCTAACACACTAGGCCAAGATACTGAACATGGTAAACACTATACCTGCCAAACATTGGCATGTAATCATTCTCACTTCGAGCAAGTTAGCATGCTGATGTTAGCATTTAGCTCAAAGCACCACTGTGCTTTCGTACAGCTTCACAGAGCCGCTAACGTGGCTGTAGACTCTTAGCCTTGTAGTACTAACAACATTTGTGTTTACCATGTTAATTACGGAGATCTTGGAGTAGCATATGGCAGCAGCACTGAAAAGAAGCTAAACACAGCTATAAAACATGAGCAAATGAGATTCCCACTTACTTAACCCTGTTTTATTTTATCTTATTGAAATGATCTTGAACGTTGATAGCGAATGATTCTGCAATGATTCTTTTCCTGGATTAATTTCAATGGCAAATGACAACAAATTCAGAATTTTTATCTGGGCACTGCAGTATGGTTGAAAGAGCACTGTTATTACTAATAGTACTATTAACATTGGACATTGTTAGACTCACAGATGGACAAGAGAACGATATAAATCCATGCAGCAGAACCACAGATATCACTTGAAGCTTACACTGCCTCAAGTTGCATCAACTTGAGGTTTGACATTTATCAGATGCATTGCTTCCTCTAGAGACACAAAAGGCTTTATAAAGCTTTTTCAAATATGCAGAACAACTCCCTAAGACCTGTAGAACAGGTTTGATGGGTAACACCAGAGGAAAGATCATGGTTATAGTTAAAAAAAAAACATGTCCACATGAAAGTCAGGCACATTACACCTGTGCCCCCTTCGACATCCTTTCCTTCACACATACACCACCTTTTTAAAAGACGCAGATTCTGTCCTTTTAAAGGTCAAATGAAGCATTCCTAACAAACTCCCCACAAGGGTTTATTTTATGCATTTCACAGGACAGGAGAAGACATCGCCAGAGTGGGCCAAGACTTTCAGAAAATCAAGGTTATTTAGCAAAAACCTTGCAGTCCTCCAGTGTGTGGTAGGGGCCGAAGCCACCAGGGTACGTGCTTTAAATTTAGCACGGGAGGAGGAAAGAGCAGCTACTGTATAATAAGCCGGAGGAGAGAATAAGTTGAACTTTGACCTCAGCTCCCTTTATAGATGACAGCAGCGACCTTGAGAGGGTGAGAGAGGAGATTGATGACGGGTGTTTTGCTTAATGAGCTCACGAGAGAACAACCCCTCTCTCTGAGAGGAGGCCAGTCGTTTTCCACTCAAGGTAAAAAAAAAACAAATGTCAATGTGATCTGCATGAGTTACATCCCTCCATCCTACCTTTTATACATCAGCTATAACAGGGCTGAACATTATATTTCCTTCCATCTCTGTCTAAAAATAGCAACAGAGCATGGGTGATGGTAGGAATCCATGCATGTGTAAGGACTGGTCCAATGAGAAATAGGCTGCATTACACCACAAATCATTTCTTTACATCACATGAAAGCATTTTTTGAAAGTCGCCTCTACGTGATTGATTTAAATCCTTTCAACAGGACAGTGATTTTAAACTTTACAAACGAATCATCCTCACACTCTATCCTCCACTGGCCTCAAACAGTAGTCACTGGTTGATGATAAGACAAAAAAGTCGCCATGGAAACAGGGTTTTTTTTTTTTCTGAGATGTGGCCACCATGGGGAAAAAACGTGAGGTAAACGCAGAGAAAAAGGGAACAGGGCTGAAGAGAGAGTTGGTGTGAGACAGAGAGGAAGTGAGAATGAAACCTGCAGGATCCTAAAAAAAATGTGACAGAGACCAAGTGTGAAAACCGCTGAAGCAGGCAGAATGTCACCGCCTGCTGTAGCCTGCGCTCATGGGAAATCATCTGACCTCACAATCTGGGTTACCCCATATTAAGCAAGAGAAAAACGGGGGGACCAGAAAGGTTAGAAAGACAGAACATGTGGGGTGCTCATTTGTTTCCCACTTTTTTTTTTTACCTATATCCCTCTCTGTTCTGGGGGGAGGGAGGGGGAGAACACTTGTGTGTCCTCTTTCTTTCATCCTGTCTCCGTCTTACCTGGAGCAGTGCAGTTCTTAGATCCTTCACTCTCCATTTCCTCCAGGCTGCTGTTGTCCATTTCCTGCAGTAGCCTCCTTCCTCCCCATCTCTCCTGGTCCTCACTGCTCTGGCTGGAGATGTCAAAACCTAGTTTGTCACAGAAAAAGAAGTTTACTTTCAAAATAAATTCAAAGGACGTTTCAGCGCAGCTACAACATCAAGATGGGGGATTTTAATACACAAAATCTCGACTCTAAAACTGTGATATGATACCTCATTTCATTCGTTTTATTACTGATGCCAAAACTTTCTCTTTAAATTACATAGAGAGATATGTGCATGACTAAATAATGTAGTCTAAAATTGAAAAAAAAAAGAGGAGGAAATTGTCTAGCTGGTCACTGGCAGGAAAAAGAGGTCAACATATTGAGTCAAAGTCAAAGTGAGTCAGAGGTAACGTTTGCAAATGTGGGTTGTAGCAACAGTAACATTGTGGGTTGTTGGTCCTACACTGAAAGATACCCTGTCCAGTTTTTGATCCCTGGTAGCATTATGGAGCAGTGCTTTTATCAGTGGGTCCCCTTTTGTTTGTTTTGTGATCTCTGCAAGTGATCTTGAACTGATCTGCTGTTAATGAGTCAAGAAACACAGCAATGTGCAAGAAAAGGCAGCGAAGTAGAAGAGAGCTAGCAGGTAAACACTGATGTATGTATGAGTAAGGAAATGCATTCAACATATTTGTTAGACACACAACACATTTTGGTGAATAACACTGAATGTAAACATCATTGTTGCCAACTTGCCGCCTTTTCCTGCCAACTTGTTTTTTTTGCCTGTGTTTCAGATGCCTGAGGGGTGGGGCAGAGATTGTCAGTGCCAGCTGGTAACACCTGGACCCAGTGTTCCCAGTCCATAAAGATCTGGCTTTTGCTGGCAGTCTCTCTCTTTCTCTCCTTTCTGTGATTTGAGCTTATGTTATGATTGACCATGCGCTGAGTAGTTGATTTGGTCCTGGTGTGCATGTGACCATGGGTTTTGTTCATAATCTGTAAATAAAGATTGACATAGCCCCTGTGACGTCATCCATACGTTTCTGAAGAGCTCAGAGTGAGCTGCTCCGCTGTCACCATCTTGGCAATACCTCACTCCCCCTAACTCCCAGCTAATCCAAAAATGGACAAAGAGGAGGGGCGTGTGCTGAGCTAAAGTTTCGCCGCATGCTGGTTTGTGGCAACCCACCTGATGCCCAATGTGGACACACATTCAATTATACAACCCTTTAAGCCTTAATAAAATGTAAACAGGTAAGTTATATAATTAAGTATAGTTACATGGGAGTCTATGGACCCAGTCTCAAATGGCCATTCAGGAAGCTGCAGTTATTTGGCACTTTTCGTATTGGCTTCATCTTTCAACCCCATAGGTTGCCGCTGGTTTTGTTCTGTTTGGTAGGTGCTTAGATTTTGGGAGACACTGCATTTTGCGCTAAGGTGGGTTGAATCATTTGTTCTCTTTTTGGGAGGTTGTCAAGATCCACAGAGGTGCAGTGTTCAGGCTTTCATACCGCTTCCTCTTTGGGTTGTGTCAAGCTTTTTTTTCCTTTTCTTTTCTTTCCGGTGGCGCTGTGGTGACGCGGTCAGTGTCAATTGTCCGCGGACAATTGTCTCAGGAGCACATCTGTGTGAATTTGTGGGGTTGCTGTTTGCAGGTCACCTTTCAAACCTGCTGGTTTACAGTGCATGAAAACCCGCTGCAAGCTGCATGAAGACTAGGGGGGAGTTGTTAGTTAGATTTGGTTCGGCAGTTATTGGGAAAATGAGGTTAGTTTTGCATCATGTGTGTGTTTGGGGTGGTTAACACTGCATTATGTTGGGTCCATTGTTTGCCTCCTTTTGTATGCGCCTGTGCAGTTAATGCTGTTTTCTCCTCAGCTCCTTTGTGTAACCCAGTTGTTGTTATGGCCTCAATCTTCAGTTTTGTTGATGCTCCCTCACGGGGATTGTTAGATAAATGCACCAAAGAGCAACTGTTCAAAATAAGTGAACATTATGGGATAGATGTTAGTGTCCGCAGCTGTGAGGCTGACATTATGGCTGTTTTGGCACCGAGTTTGGTGATCAAAGAGGTTTTGATTGAGGAGCCGAGCTCAGGTTTGGGTCCAGTTGGGACCCCTGGGGCGACTGCTGGACTGACTTGAGAACAAGCAGATTGCTTTGGAAAGGTTGAGACAAGAACATGAAACTGATAGGGATGCTATGGAAACCGATTCACCAGTGTTTTTACAAGGTGTCATCTGAAAAACTGTAAGACGCTTGAGAAGAATATATGCTGAAAAATATCATTGCTCTGCCTTCTTCCTCCAATTGTGCATCTCCCAGTGTGGTGATGGAAAAATCTGTCAAAACTTGTGTTTTCTTTCTTGCTTTTCTTCTGCCGTGCATTAAGGACTGCATAGATCAAGTGTGTCCTGCTAAGTTTGTTGAAGGGGTATTGGTAGGTCTCACATGTGAAATCAGCTCAGCTTCGAGTATAAAGTTGTGAGTTCTGGACTTAGGAATATACAGACAACCCTCCAACATCTGATGATCATGGTTGTCTCGGGGGTTGCAGGGGTGTGTGGTCAGTTTGCACGATGTGGTCATTTACAGTCACTCATGGGATGTGTATGTTCGGCTGATTGGGACTCTGTTTGATCATTAGGCCGAGGAGTATGCTCCCCCCACCAGGAAGAAAGACGGTTTCTTGGCCTTGTTGGTTGTTAACGATGTTTGTCTAAAATGTTTCCACTATGGTTGTGCCATTAACCACCATGGTTACCTTAAATGTTCGGCAGACTTTGTTTGGTCCCCCAAGTGTCAAAGTGCATTTGTAAATGTCAAAACATTGTTGTACTTAGCTCCTGTTCTGGCTGCACCACATCTGGATGATCCTTTCAACCTCCAGGTGGATGACAGTAATGTGGGAGCTGGCGCAGTTTTGTTGCAGGAAGGTGAGGATGGAAGGTGGTGAGGATCTGTTTTCCTATCAGCTGAATTATTCAGTTATTGAGGAGTTGGTTGGAGTTCGGTTCTGCAGTTTTTGAGGTTTACATTGGCACAGGGGGTAGACAAGTGGTGGTCCATACAGACCTTAACCCCTTTCTTGAACTTGTTACGCTGTGCCAACCACAGGCTGATGCCCTGGTCTTTGTTGTTCCAAGGCTTTTAGACATTAGGTTAGTGTTGTGTCAGACGCTTTTTCCCATGCATCAGTGGGGAGGGAAGTTGCTATGTTAAATCATGGTTCCCATTGGTATTAGTTTGTTTTGCTCTGTCTCTCTCTCTCTTAATTTGCTTCCAGGATCCAGTTGCTGAGGTGTGAACTGTTTTTAATTGTGTTGTACAGATGTTGTGAATTGTGGTACTGTGGGGATCCCTCTGGGACCTTTTTCTATGGATGGGGGTGTGTGGGGTGTGTGTGTGGGGTGTGTGTGTGTGTATGTGGGGGTGGGGTGGGGGGTGGGTGGGGTGAGGACCCCTGCCCTTTCCTGTCAACCTGGTTTTGTCTGCCTGTGTTTCAGGTGGGGCAGGGACTGACTGGTAACACCTGGACCTAGTTATGTTGTTTTAGCCCCTCATTAGTTCCTTTGTTTCATCTTGTTTTCATGCAGTTACAACACTCTCCATTCACTCTCCACTCTCATGCACAGCCTCACTACTGATTCTACTGCCCTTTGGATTATTATGCTTTTGTTATGTGTTTAAGTATTGTATGTTTGTTAATTTTAACGCAGGCTGCCAAAGCTCTATATTGTCCACTGGCAAAAGTACAAACCAAGACCACCATTATTGATTTACTATCATCATTTCATCACATTTCTCACACAATGGTCAACTTTCACCTTTGACAGCCTAAACTTGCTAATTAGAGGATGAATCTCAGCAAGCACGCAATGACAACTTTTGATGCTTAACAATAATAGGACATATTTTAGTCAATATCAAACAAATACTAAGCAAGGATATTCAATACCAAGTCCTAATGCAGAAGACCTCTTCAGTCCAACAGTAAAGCTGGGCCTTTTTAGTTTCTATGTATAAGTTACAAGTTTGTGTCTTTCAAATGCTGCAGGTAGCAAAGTGCATGTCAAGCAATTTGTTTTATTTTTAATGACCAGGATTGTGCTCTCTGTCACATTAAAGTTTGATTCTTTATGTAATGGTAGGGTAGTGAACAGCTGGAGGAGTGCACCACAGATGTGTCAGTTTGGTAACTCCCCCCCTCCTCTCCACTCCCCCCCCCCCAATTCATACATTGAAGGGGAATTTCATGATTTTCCAAAACAAAATCCTCTTGGGGGGGTACAGCAACAGTGCAGCACTCAACGTGAGGCTCCCACTGTGGCTACATCTGCACATTCTTCAAGACAGCAGCAACACCAATGAATTCATTTCATACTTCAGAGAGCTCAGCAGGAGCACTCTGCCCTTTCCACCCTGCCAACTACAAGTCTGGCCTAAGAGAGGGATTCAAATAGAATTAAAAAGCCCAGTTATTCAATAGCCCTCAGGGCATGGCTGAACTTTTCACCTGGCCTCACCTTCATTACACCACACACAGCAGCTACACCAGCAGCGAGGTATGCGTGCCAGCGCTGTACCTTCTATGTTCTCGCTATCTTGCACACAGAGAGGAGAAGACGAGTTTGGGAATGATTAATGTGCCACAGTGAGGAGGTGTTGAGTGCTCCGCTTCCAGCTCCACAACACCAAGCTCAATTTAGCAGAACTTCATTAAGCGCATCATAAATAATCAACTCTAATTGATACTGCGGCAAGCTGACAAAGAGTTAACAAGAACACAATGGGGACAAGGGAAATGCATTAAATGTCCCAGTGTCATTTCTCGTCCGCCTCTAATTTCGAACACATGCGGAGAGCAGCACTGTTGCATTTCCATGCAACCAGGAAAGGAAGCGGGGAGGAAAGGGGGGGGGGAGAAATGAGTCGCACTGATGATGCACAAATCATGAGTGTATGAATATTCATGCAGGCCTTCTGTCCATGGGAAGTGATAAATACCTCTCACTTTAGCTGATGCTGACTCAGTAATCAAGTGGAGTGTTGGGGGCACAGTCAATGAGAGGTACAAAGAGAACAAGAGGAACACGCAGACATCAAGTCAAGTGGTGCATATGTTTGCTGTTAGGAAGTATGCACTTATTTATTATCAGGGTCTCATTAGCATTTTGATGCTTCGGCAGTCATTTAACATGCATGTCAGCACGGCTGTGGAGTGAAGTCAGAGAGAGGGAGAGGAACACTGCGTAACCATTTGCAGTAACTTGGGAGAGGTGTAGGCCTATACCCTGGGACTCATTGCCCTGATTTCACCGCTCTGCAGCTAAAACACCTGAACATGCAAGAGCCTCTGCATCCCCCAGCCCAGAATACTTCCCCATAGTTAAAGCTCAGATGAATTCCCATTATAACCTACTGTGTACCTATGTACCTGTATGACTGCAGTGGCGCCTTGGCGTTTGCCCCAATTTTTTGTCAGGTCAAATTAAGGCAAAAGCGACACCAGTCTCTTTAAGTATTTGGTTCATGCCCCTTTTAACAGAATAGCAAAATGCAAAGGTTTCAGTCTTATTCCAGCAAATGGTATGAGACACACACTTTTCTGGGTTATTCTTATGTATGGGAAGATGAGCTCAGAAAAACTGTCGAGTTTAGTTAGAACATAAACGCCACAGAGCAAAACTTTTCCTATAAGAAAAGGCAATTACAAAGACACCATGTCACATTTTACAACCATGCAGATCAAGTAGAAACTGAGTAAGTGATGCACTATATGTCCAGGTAGGAATATTAAGAGTAGCATTAAGTAGAAGTGATAACAGGGAGATGCTGTTTGTCACAATGCAGCTGTCTGCACTAATTTACATTACAGTTATATGTTTGTGACCGAGAAGGAATAAAATCATATCAATTAACTGTGAAGAAATGTTAGTGGCAGAGGAACAGTAGTGAAACAGGCTAACTGCTGGGGAATGCAGCTCTGCTTCACCGGCATCCCAGCGCTCCGTGCGGGAGCAGAACAAGCGGCTAAATCCTCACCTGAATTTTCCGCTAAGTAGGAAAACCCCTTCACGACCAGCAGCAAGCCGCCAAACAAGCATATCTGGATTAAAACCAACTCCTTTCGCCTTTTCCGCCTCGCTTTGACCTTTTTCTGGTTCGGCATCACTTGCGTCGGCCGATTCCGGAGTCGGATACCCGGCAGAGACATCCCCTCTACCGCTGCCACATCCATGCTGATCCCCGAAGAGGAGGGAAAAAAAAAGCGACCAACCTCCTTTCCAGGGAACTGACTTATCTCCCGGGAACGGATGAAAAAGTAGAGGGGAGGGGTTTCAAGGGAGCAGGGGGGAATGATTAAAGAAAAAAAAAAGTTGGAAATTGGTGCTGCTGGGATGCTGTGAAGGCTGTTTGGCAAACACTGCGAGCGTCAGGCTGAGCTTGGGTTGTCTTCTTATGTCATGGTGAAATGTGGTTTTGGAAGTAGTACGGCAGAGGACGGATGCGTCCGTCTGCTGAGTGTTGAGGCAGCGAGACAGAGAGAGAGAGAGAGAGAGAGAGAGAGAGCGAGAGAGAGAGAGAGCGAGAGAGAGAGAGAGCGAGAGAGAGAGAGAGCGAGAGAGAGAGAGAGCGAGAGAGAGAGAGAGAGAGAGAGAGAGGGGGGGGGGGGTGGGTGCGTGGGCGCGCACGCGCGCGCACACACAAACACACATACACACAAAATGACAAAGTGAAACCCAGGTCAAAAATCTGAATAATTTCTGACATTGAAAAAATAAGTTTCTTATATGCGTGATCAATATTTGTACACGGAAATTTCTACCCATATGACATTTTATCTATTGTGTACTTTCTGTTTGTTTTTTTTATTCATTATTCTTAAGATTGAGAGTCATCAAAGCTGCATCACCTGATTTTCATCTGGAAACAAGTTGGATGAGAGCTAAAACCAAAACAATTCAGTTGCTGCCCTAAAACCAGAACAATGAGCTGAAAGAAGCTAAAATGCTCTCTAGGCCTGAGGGGGACTGCAGAGTGAGGTGAGGTGAGCAACACCTTTCACTTAAGTTTACAAGAAAAATGATTAGTGCAGCTTTAATATGTGGTATTTTCTAATTATATTTAAAGGAGTCAATTTGCTGGGCATTAAATCAAATAAGTACACATGTAAAAGTACATACAGTGTATTTGAAAATAGAGCAGTGAAAGTCCAGCGGTTATGATAGTTGCTGAATGTAAAACACATAGACTGACTCCATTATGAGGATTTGTGCCACAGAACGTAGGAAACCTTTGTGTAAGGCCCTTATAAACACGTGTCCTCCTCTGAGAAACTGTGCCTTCCCTGGATAAAATTATTTTTATTAAATGTGAAGGTTTTCAGAAAACAGTGTTAGAATACTTTAAGAACAGGTATGTGCACTTTTATGTTTTAGTTGGAAATTTACTAATAGTAAAATAACGCACTTTAGTCAGACAGGTAAATACACACTTCATACCCAAAACGCATGAAAAATAATTGTAATAGAATAAGCACAAAAATACTTAATTCTCCTTTTTTGACTTGCGAACAGACATTCATTGATACATCTGGTCTGTTTTGATCAGGTTCTTAAACTATATTTTGATAATACCACTTATTTGACATAAAAGCTCAATAAAATAAAGTGTGTTGGAATCAAATTGTAAGTAAAGGGGAAATGAAAATTGGAAGCTGTTTGTGGGGATGTGCTTTGCACTGCCCTCTTCTGGGAGTTTCTTTTAGTGATAACACACCAGCTTGCACTTGAAGGAAAATTGTGTCGCTCAAAAATAATATCACATTTTGTTTGTTAAGCTGCATTGGTTTTCTAATAACCTTAGTCATGCTTTGGATTAATACCACTCACCCAATCAAACATAGACAAACCCTGTGGCCAGCAGCCAAACACAGCAGTGATGTCTCCCAGGCAAAGTACTACTTCTACAAATAATAACAGTAATAATATTATCACTCTAAATATGTCAATTATCCCACCCAAAAGTGGATCCCCTTCCCTCTGAACATGGATAAAAGGCATCACATTAATTTGGTCTAAACTAAGGTTTAGAACAATGACTGCAGTAAATCATCCACCAGGGCCGGGACACATTAAATCTACTGTAGTATGTTCTTTGATTACACAACAGCAGTCATATGGATTGATTTCACTTGTACCTGTTAAAATGTGTCGTCTACTCACTCAGTGCATGTGTGTGTTCAGAAAACAGAGAACCACCACAGATTCCAGTGTGTGTGTGTGTGTGTGTGTGTGTGTGTGTGTGTGTCTGCCATTCCTGAAGTTTTGTACGCAACGATTTCAGTGAAACAAAACTTTAGGATAATGGGAAATACTTTATCTTGGCCAAGTGGGTTTCTTGATTCTTGGGCCTGAGGTTTCATATAAATAGCACTGGAAACTTTCCAGCAAGAATGGAAAAAGTGGTCAGGGCTCTAGGCAACTGGTTTCATTGTGCCTTTTTAACCCTTTGGAGTATGGGACTAAGGCAGATCAAACAGAAGACAAGGAATGCGGGGAATGGAAGCAAGAGATGTGGCAGAGAGCTGCCCATCACATTTTTGAAGAAAAATAATCCAAGTTTATGTGTCCAAATAAAACTTTTTCCAAATCAAATGAGCACACCACTTAATTTTTTTTTAGCTTCACATATAGAAAGCAAACTCCAGCAGCAATCCACACATGACCATGGGGGCCTTAAAGCTGCCATGAAACCTGGCCTGTCTAACTTGCAAAGCAAGCTCGGACTGGGCATGAAGTTACTAAACAAGATGAATTTCCAACCTCTCAGAGGCACACAAAAGAAAAAAAAAACCTGAGGGGAAGGAGGGAAGAGGAAGGAGGAGGGGGGCAACAAATTAAATCCAGTTAAATTGTTTTTCCATAGCCAGTGGGCTTGGCAAAGGACTCTCACACACACACAAGATGTAAGATAAGTTGTAGAGAAGACAACCAGAAACAGTATGGCTTCAGATGTAAGAGAATTCCTGGAATTTAACCCACTTTCCCATGTCCAACTGACACCGCGCCCACTCCTGCTGCCCTGCCCTGCAGCTCAGGGTATCCACACAAAAGACACACAAACAGCCATGTTGCTTTGAAATACACAGATGCTTCCATAGACAGACAAACCTTCAACATCTGCCCCACTCAACACTCCCCGTTCTCACCCCATTACAGCTTTGATCAATTGCAGTCCTCTCAGATGTTTGGTACAATACATCAATAATCCAGGGCCCCACAGACTCCTTCCTCCTCTCACTGTAAAACCTGTCCAGTATTGGGATCACAATGCAGTCATTGCAGAGGAGAGCTGCAACTCTAGCCCAATTCTGAAGCGCTACTAAGGCAGGCTAGCTAGCTAGCAGACGTATCTGGGTCACGTCTTCCCTCTCCAAGAGCTCCCCAGTCCGGGCTACAGCAGCTCCTCTGCCTTTCATGCTGCTCTCCACCACAACATGGAGAAACCTCGCCTCAGCACCATTTGAAGAAGAGAGAGGAAGAGGGGGGGTACTATACACTATGGTTGGCTAGGAATAGCTTGCTTGAACTAAAAAAAAAAAAAAAAAAAAGCTAAAGTTGGGACAGTATAGACGGGCCAGGTGGTGATGCTGAGAGGAGAAATAAGGACAAGCATCTTTGCTTTTGCATGACATAAAACAAGCAGAATAAACGGTGGAAAAACACTCACAAACGCTGCATGGTTCATGTTTTCTACTGACGTCTTTATAAAATAACAAAATGTACATTCAGATCTGTCATTAAATGACGGCAGGACACTTTATTAATAATAATAATAATAATAATAATAATAATAATAATAATAATAAGGATAACAGTTTAATAAAAGGTGTATATGTAATTCTGTGAAGCCAAAGTCTGCCCAGCTACATCGGTCCAAGGGTTCAGTGACAGTGACGCACAGCCGGCTCCTCTCCACAGAGGTGAAGTACAGGTAATTGAGACAAAATGACTTGTAGTCACTAAGCTGAAGTTACTTGATCGACAAAATCAATAACAGCTGGAGTCAGCACAATGGTACCATCTCTCCCTGCAGTCGAAACAATTATTTCCTTTAAGTGGGTCTACACATTTTATTTAAAGTCCGACAACCAACCCACATTAACAGAGAGCTACTGTGGGTTGTTGTTCAAAGCCTAAAGGCTTTTTACATGTTGTGCTGTGTCTAGCTATAAAATGTAAATTTTGTTGATTGATTTTTTTTTTAGACGGCAAGTAATTTAAAGGGAAGACCTGCAATTTCAGTTGGACCTCTAAACCAATCATGAGGTGTCACTGCTGCAATCAATTTGGCAAGACTGTTACATTATCACTGTTCTGATGTTCTTTTGCCGTACTGCAGGTCAAGGTATTAGAGCTGAGCTGTGCTTCAGGGTCAGTGCCATGTTTCTGAGCAGAGATTAAGTGGGAACAGCAGGCTGAGAGTGAAACAGGTAGAGAGAGTCTGTAGAGGAAGACGGAGAGAGAGAGAGAGAGAGAGAGAGAGAGAGAGGGAGGAAAGAATCATGGACTGAAAGGCAGTAGGAAAAAGACAGAAAGCTACTAGGCCACTCAATGTAGTGTTGTTGATGTTTTGTTCTATCCCATATCACCCATGCTCCCTCTTTCCAAGCACCCCTTGTTCAATCTCTCACATCCTCTTTGCTACTTTGATTACACCTAGCTGGCCCTATCTGATTCTGAAGAAGAGAGGCCAAGGACAGCAGCGAGTAGAAGATGTTCTGCGGCAAAGAATCCAGCTGATTTCCAAACAGGGAGGAGGACAGTCCACAATCAGGTGTAAGTCACTGAGGATTAGGGCCTTCCTGAGGAAACTGGGCTCACTGTCCCCGGTACGACAACTGCATGAGAAAAATCAAAACAGAGTCAATTTGGTGTCTGGCTCTTGTCATTTGTTATCATTGATTTGTGTCAATGTCAACGGACAAGATAAAGGATTCAAAAGTTTAAAGCATAACTTTTTCTATGCGGCAGCCATTGGGGCCTCAAACAGCAGTTACAGGATAATAGCACATTGAATTTTATTTAATTCAATTACACAGC